GAACTCAGAAATCCATCTGTCTCTGCCTCCCAAGTGCTGGGATTAAAGGTGTGCTCCACCACTGCCCAGCTGTTGGTTTGTTTTTTAGTTAGCTTTTTTGTGGTCCTGAATTCTTTTCTGCTCGTCCTGCATCTTGCCTACTGATATTGGGGTCCCAGTTCTTGACCTTTTGTTTTTTTCCTGTGCCTCATGCTTCTTAGTTGAAAGTTGCAGAGTAGTCAAGAAATTAAGACTAAATTGAATAGGTTTTATCGTTGAAGTAGCACCTTTTTCTTCTGTTAAACTTTTAGTGTAGAGCTAGATAATCAGTCTAGTCAGGAGTTGAGTTAGGTCTGTGTGTTGTATTTGCTGTTGATTCCTGTTTGTTTCTGGTTCCGCTGAGTTAGCTTGATGAAGGGTTTTCTTCAGTATTTCTGATCAACTCTCTGCTTGAATCCTTTCCTGTTCCCTGTAATAACCTCTCTTCCCTATGCTCTTGCTTTGTCTTGCCAGTCTGATTGTGAGGTGTGGGGCCAGTCTCTTAATTTTTCTGGTACAGTGTTGGGCAGTGGACTATGCCAGGAAACTTAGTAAGGTTGAGCAGGATCCTGCCAGTAGCATATGCTTGTCTCAAAGATTAAGCCATGCATGTCTTAAGTACGAATGGCTGGTACAGTGAAACTGCAAATGGGTCATGAAATCAGTTACGATTCCTTTGGTCACTCGCTCCTCTCCTACTTAGATAACTGTGGTCATTCTAGAGCTAATACATGCCGACAGGTGCTGACCCCTCTCCTGGTGCAGGGAGGATTCGTGCATTTATCAGTGAAAACCAACCCGGCCTGGGGATGGGAGCGGGTTTTGGGGGGCTTTGGTGACTCTAGATAACCTTGGGCAGATTTCTTGCCCCCTGTGGCAGTGACGACCCATTTGAACATCTGCCCTATCAATTTTTGCTGGTCATAATGCCTACCATGGTGACGGGAAATCAGGGTTCGATTCTGGAGAGGGAGCCTGAGAATTGGCTACCACATCCAAGGAAGGCAGCAGGTGTGCAAATTGCCCACTCCCGACCCAGGGAGGCAGTGATGAAAACAATACAGGACTCTTTCAAGGCCCTGCAATTGGAATGAGTCCACTTTAAATCCTTTAACGAGGATCCATATGAGGCCAAGTCTGGTGCCCACAACGTGGGGCATACCCCAACTGGCAACCCACACAGACCCACATTGGAACTCCAGATTAAACAAGGACTTTGAGTAACCCCTGGCACTAGTTCCAAGGACCCAGGCCTTCCAACTCTAAAGAGAGACACTCTGTCTTCTTCCCACTTTTCGACCCTGTCCAAATCCAGACAGTCCAACTAACCATTAACAAAAACTCTGATCCACACTCCCTCCAGCCCTGCCAATACTGTGCCACCAAGTCCCTATGCTTCTCTTTCTGCTCTACTTTTAGGGTGTACAAAACCCAACCTACCCCCTGTCTTCTGCCAGTCCCAGCCAAGGAAAAACACGGGTGGGGGGGTTTCGGGATGGAGAAAAAGGGACCTACCTGCTAGAACAGACAGCCACAGCAGAGCAGAGCAGGCCCTTTCCCCTGTACCTAGGTGACAAAAACCCACCAAGCAAGGACAACAGATGAGATCTTGCTGCTGAGAATTCGGAAAAACCATACCTGAAATTCTTTTTTTGAGACAGGGTTTCTCTGTGTGGCCCTGGCTGTCCTGGAACTCACTCTGTAGACCAGGCTGACCTCAAACTCAGAAATCTGCCTGCCTCTGCCTCCCAAGTGCTGGGATTAAAGCTGTGTGCCACCACCGCCCAGCAATACCTGTAACCCTTAACACAACATTTTCATGCTTCTTTATTTAAATGTTTATTTTTCTAATAGGAACACCTGAAACAATGTTTGTGCCTTCTAACTAAAATTGTCCTAAAATTTCTTTTAAACTTCAAACGTCATATTTAATCTACTCCCATAGGTCAAACCAACTATGTTAATAACCATTGCTTAATCCTTAATTAACAGTCTTCTTTTACAGACAAGCTGTTACTGCTTATCCCAGATACATAATTAACATGATATTTTCTTCCTCAGCCATCCAAAGCAGATAAATCCTCAACTCTTCCCCCTGCTTTCCTTAATACAACACTGGTAACTCCTCACTTAAAGGATGCCTTCCAGGACTAAAGTCCTCAGCACCCTTGCCTTTTTTCTAGGACCATTACAACAGACCATGATATGCTCCTAAGCAAACTGTTTTGGGCTTAACATATACACTACCCACCTGTGCAGACATCCCCCTGCTGGGGTTCTGCTCCCCTGTTGTTTATCTCTACAAGACGGAGTCTGACCTGCCATCACCTTGGATCTGCCTCGGGCAATAAAGCTACCTTTGTCCAGACACATCATCCGACTGAAGACTTCCCAGACAAGCAGACACTGACAGCTTTGGGACCTTCCAGCCACAAATGAACTCTCTTGCCAGAACCTGATGGCTATTGAATTTGGGGAAACTTACATGATGTCTATATAGTTAAATCAAATATTGTTTAAAACCGATGTTAATACCCTCACAAACTGTACAAACTCACTCTCAATGTCAATCCACTGAACAACTAATTAATCCAATAATCCCTTGTCTTCCTAGCCCCCACCCCTCTGGTTTATGTTGTGTTACCACTATGACTTATATCGTGCTACCCCTGTGGCTTATGTTGTGTTTTATTTTGATGCTTACACCCCACCTCACCCAAAATTTTCACTACAAATAACATGAGAGACAGTCAACTCCAATGACACTTCATTTTTATTAAAAAAAAAAAAAGGAGGGAGGAGTTGTGGAGCAGTGGACTGTGCCAGGAAACTTGATAAGGTTGCGTGGGTTGGAAGCCCCGGAACCTCTGAGAGGATGGTAGGAGCTTTACCTGCTTCTAACTAGTCCCCTGTCCTGTGACAACATCTCTACATAGGGTTGTGTCCTTTGGTCACATAGGTCAGAACAGAGTTCCCCATGCTAATGAGGTATCTAGTGGCCCTGAGAATTTAGCCAGTAAGCTTCCCTTCCCGTACATTCCTTCCTTCAAAAGGTATTTAATCTCTGGTCCACCGTGAGGAGATGGTATGCACCATTTTCCACGATGAACAATCAATAAACAGTTTGGAACCAAGGACTGTCTCTTTCATCAAGAACTGCTGTGGGGAACATGGAGAAAGCCTTTGTCCGCAGAACCGCTCCACCTAAGTCTCCTGCAGGAGGCCCCTCCTAGCTCCCTGACAATCTTTCACTAAGCTAAGGACAATCACCAGTGAGTTAAGCTGGAGTTGCCTATCCCCGTAAGCCCTGGGCTCTTTCTCCTGAGGACCCAACTCTGTTCCCAGTTCCCCAAGACCCAGTGGCATCTGGATGTCCAGGAGTTTGGGAGCCCCTGGCCCAGGGCTCCTCATTGCAAGCCGTACTATTCTACACTCTGATTATTAGCAGTTTGTTAACTGCAGTGGCATTCTTCCTGTCCATTTTTGTTGTCAACTTGTCCTGCGGCTTCTTTTTCTTCCTGTCACTTGTGGATGTTTTTGTTTGTGTCTGCTTTTTTTTTTTTTTTTTTAATGATATCTGACTGGCTAGTCTACACAGTGATTCTCAATCCATGGGTCACGATGCATTTGGGAAGGTCCAACGACCCTTTCACAGGGGCCACCTAAGACTATCAGAAAGCACAGATGCTTACATTATGATTCATAGTAGCAAAATTACAGGTACGAAATAGCAATGAAAATAATTTTCTGGGTGAAGGTCACCACAGCACAAGAGTTGTAGCATTAGGACGATTGAGAGTCACTGCTCTACGTCCTCAGCTCTCTCATGCATTCCAGAACAGTATTCCAGTTCCTGCTTTCCAGACAGAAACTAAACAGGCTTCATAATTAACTGGTATTACTGAACTGCTTACTGTTTAAATAAGTCACAAACTGAAAAGTAAGTTGCAAGTACAGTCACTAAGCTTTTGGGTAGCTATCACCTACTTTACCAGTTATTAAGTTTTTGCAAAATAAGTTTTATTCCTATTTTCCTGTATGTCTTAGTTAGGGTTGCTAGTGGTGCAACGAAACACTATGGCCAAAAAGCAAGTTTAGGAGGAAAGTGTTTATTCTGTTTATGCTTTGGTGTCACTGTTCATCACCAAAGGAAGTCGGGAGAGGAGCCTGGAGGCAGGAACTGGTGCAGAGGCCATGGAGGAGTGCTGCTTACCGGCTTGCTTCCCTAGCTTGCTCAGCCTGCTTTCTTACAGAACCCAGAACCACCAGGGATGGCAACACCCACCATAGGCTGGGCTCTCCCACATTGATCACTAATTAAGAAAATGCCTTACAGCTGGATCTCATGGAGACATGTCCTCAACTGAGGCTCCTTCCTCTCTGATGGCTCTAGCTTATGTCAAGTTGACACACAAAACCAGCCAGTACACGCTACATTTGTTAACTCTTATTATTGATGTATTTGAGAGTAGAACCTTCAATCTCATGACTACCTACCTCTAAATACATCGATCTCATAAAAATTTTAAAATTTATTAAATTTCATTATTTTGAGACTTGGGGTGAGGCCCAAAATATATAATATCTATGTATAACGATTTTATATATGCATATGTATTTATATATATATATATATATATATATATATGTATATATAAATATATATATGTATATATAAATATATATGTATAAATATATAACATACATGTATGTGTGTGTATGAATTTTGAGCCAGGGTCTCACTATGTGCCCTTGGTTGGTCTGGAATCACTATGTGCACCAGGTTGGTCTTGAACTTGTAGCGATTCTCCTGCCTTTCCCTCCTGAGTGGTAGAATTAAGGGCCTGTGCCACTATACTCAGCTAAACTTACTTTTAAAAATCTTAGTCATATCTGAAGATTGCTGTATATTCATAAAGTATTATATACTGCTAAAGTTTGCATCAGTAATTTTTATTTATTAAATCTCTTTCTGTTTGTAGGTATCATTATTAGGATTGGAGATTTTAAGTGCCTTTGTGGATAGATTGTCAACACGATTTAAATCTTATGTAACAATGGGTAAGTTCACTTTAACAATCATTGTAGATTTTGGTACAGTGACTTTTACCTCTGGTTTTTGTTAATTTGAATGAATTTCTGTAAATTAAAAAAAAATGTAGTTTGGGGACTGGAGAAATGGTTGGTGGTTAAAAGTACTTGCTCTTCAGAAGCCCTGCGTTAGATTCTCAGAACTCGGAGCAGGTGGGTCACAACTACCTGTAATTCTAGCTCCAGGAGCTTTGATGCCCTCTTCTGGCCTTTGAGGATACTTGCACAAACACGGCATACACTTACACACAGACACATTAAAGTAAATAAAATAAACTAAAATTAAATTTTTTTAAAAATATAATTATGTATAATGCAGAGATATGGTACTTTAACATTTTAATTTACTAGAAAAAGACTTTAAAGCTCTTTACATAGGTGATTCTGCAGGAGGTATAAAGCAGAAGCAACAAGACAGCATGGCATCCTGGATACTGTTAAGTATTTATGCCACATGCTCATCTTTCTTCGTGTCTCTAACTTTTTGTAAAATGACAAAATTTATAATACAGATTACATGCTGTGGGGTTGTTTTTTGTTATTTTGAGACAGAGTCTCACTCTACAACCTTGGCAGACCTGGAACTGGTTCTACAGAACCAGGCTGGCATCCAATTTATAGAGATCTGCCTGCCTCTGCCTCCCCAGTGCTGGGATCAAAGGCGTGCGCCACCATTCAGGCTACACTACTAGTGTTTTTGTTTGTTTTGTTTTATGGAGAAGTCTGCTTAGACCAATCTTTTATGTAATATAATACGAGTGAGTTAGAGCAAAAGGAAAGAAACTCAAAGTCCTGGTTTGGTCTGTTTTGATGCTGATTCTGAATCTTTCACACTGAGCACACAATGTTAACCCTGAGCAGTACTCTAGTCCCACAATTTTAATTATTAGGTTGAACAAAGCCACTGTGTCATGTTTCTGACCTTCCTCAGAGAAGCAGTTATGCTGTGCTGGCTGCATGGTCATTGTGGTCCTTTAAGCTGCGGCTCTGTATAACACAGACATAGTTGGCTTTGACCAAACACGTGGGATAGTCATCTGCACTTTAGAGAGCTTTATGAATGAGGTCACTACAATTTTGTACCAACATACAGAAATACTGCCTGGAATGTTAGTGGTTTTCTTCTGTGATTTAAGTTAATACGTAACAGTGTCAGCATATTATATTAAACTTACTTTTAAATGTCTGGTCAGTTTTTTCATGTTTGATATGCCACCTAATTGTGTTGATTTTTTTTGTTGTTGTTGTTATTTTTCTTTTCCCTGCCATTTCTTGAATAGGTTTCTTGGTATTCACTTTTAATCACTAATTGGTACTAACCATCCTTAGTGTTAAGATAAAATTTTTACTCTCAGTCTTCTACTTAAAATTGATGGTAGATGTTAAAAAAACATGCTTCAAAAACATGTTTTGCTTCTGTATTTGAGTGCATAAATGGGGATTTTAAAAATAAAGTTCTGTTCTTTGAGGCTTTGAGAAATTGGATGATAAGGCATGTTTGATTTTCTCTTATGTGTAATTATTGGCTGACATTGTATTGCAGCTTCCTTTTGTCCAGGTCCATGGAGCTTTGCTTTGCTCTGCTTTCCCTCCCTCCCTCCCTCCTTCCCTCCCTCCCTCCCTCCCTCCCTCCCTCCCTCCTTCCCTCCCTCCCTCCCTCCCTCCATCTCTCCCTCCTTCCCTCCCTCCCTCTCTTCTATTCTTTCCTCATTCCCTCCCTCCCTCCCTTCTATTCTTTCCTCATTCCTTCCCTCCCTCCTTCCCTTTGTCCCTCCCTCCCCTCTTTCTTTACTTCCTTTAAAAGGTCTCTCTGTGTAGCTCTGACTGGTCTAGAACTCACTGTTTATCTCAGGCTGGCCTTGAACTGTCTGTATAATCAAGAATGACTTTAAACTTCTGGTCCTCATGGACAGTAAACATGTGCCCCTCCCTGGTTCTTTTCATGCTCAGCATGCCTGTTTCCTATTGCTGACTGTCTTGACTTGCCAGCTTCCAATAATGACACAGGGATTTTATGAATTATTTATTTATGAATGGTTAGGCCTTATAGTTTAATTTACCCGTTTATTCTTAACATACATTATGCCATGTGGTCCATTCCCTCCCCTTCAGTTCTGGCACCTGTTTTGTCCTCTGTCTGGCTGGTGAATTCCACCACCACCATGCCCACCTGGTTCTTTCCCACAGTTCTTGTCTCTGCTCACAAGTTCCTTCTTTCCTTTCCTGCTTAGCTATAGGCCATCAGCTCTTAATTAAAGCCAATCAGAGAATGCCTTAGGCAGGCGAGGAAGGATGGGGACACACCTTCACACAATGTACAAAAAGATTACTCCAACATTTCCCAGCTGAGCCTTGAGTGTGGACTTTCTGATTCGTAATACCTTTCATCTTTTTTGTTATTCATAACTGAGAATGTTGACTACAATATTGCAAGGTTGAAATACTGCACTGAAGTGTTACTCCGGGTAGTACGTGTCTTACTAAGTTCTCAGACACAGGGTATACTGACAACTCATTGAACCATGATGGACTGGAGTTGTCACTGACTCTGAATATTGTCCTTGGTGTTCCAGGACACTGGAATGATGGTTCCTTTACATACACATGCCTTCTCCCATCTCAGTTAATGTCCACAAGGTCTTGAGCAGGAATTCTCCACTTCAGTTTGACAGAAGCCAGCTCACTTATTTGGATGTAGCTTAACTTGCATGTGCTGTGCTCTTTCATTTGAAATACTTCCTCTTCTCTATAATTCTTTGCTTCATGGTATTTCGGAACTTTTCAGGTTAATTCTTCATACTCTAGACTTTTCTTTTTTTTCTTTTCTTTCTTTTTTTTTTTTTTTTTTTTTGGTTTTTCGAGACAGGGTTTCTCTGTGTAGCCCTGGCTGTCCTGGAACTCACTCTGTGGACCAGGCTGGCCTAGAACTCAGAAATCCACCTGCCTCTGCCTCTCAAGTGCTGGGATTAAAGGCTTGTGCCACTACTGCCTGGCTAGACTTTTCTTTATTGTTGCTGTTATAGTTACTGTTTACAGTTCATTGCTGTTAACTATAAAATTATATATAATTATTAATATTATGTGTTAATATATTACCTATATTATGGTAATACATTTTATTATATCTTACATGTAGTATAATATACTATATTGCTATATGATATATAATATACATAATATTATATATGACATAATATATAATGATATCATTCAGTTGCATTTCATTGGCTCATGCTTTTCATTTGTGTTCCCACTCCACATGTACATCCAGCCTTATTGGAGTGTACAGCTTTATTTTTTTTAATCTGTTACTTGTACAGACTTACTGTTAGTCAACATTGTTTTCACTTTGAAGATCTTTCGTGAATCTTGAACTTGTTATTGCTTGCAAACTTATGTGGCATGATGCCAAAATGTGACCTTATTATTTGTTTTGCTGCCGTTTATTGGATGCCTCCTTTAAAAATATTGATTATGTCTATGAAAGAGTATTATCACATATTTCTGACTTAGAGGTAGACAGAATGTTTGCATGCTCTTCAGGAACGGGAATACTTCAAATCTGCTCTTTGTTTAATCCTATCACAAGTCTTAACCAGACTACCTAACTCGATAGAGAGCCAATACAGTGGCTCAGTGGATAAAAGTGCTTGACCACAAGTCTGGTGACCTAAGTTCAATCCCCAGGTCCCACATGGTAGAGAGACCTGACTTCTGTGAATTGTCCTCTGAACCCCACGCACATGCTATGGCACATGTCTACCTCCCCATACACAGCAGAGAATAAATAAATATAAAACATTTTTAAAAAGTCTCTATAAAGGGAGAGAGTTGAATTGTGACCTAATGAAGTTCTTTTTTAAATGATAAATTATTTTTATTTTATGTACATTGATATTCTGCCTGCATGTATGTTTGTGTGAGGGTGTCAGATCTCCTGGAACAGGAGTTACAGACAGTTATGAGGTGCCATGCGGATGCTGGGAATTGAACCTGGGTCCTCTGGAAAAGTAGCCAGTGCTCTTAACCAGTGAGCCATCTGTCCAGCCCTAATGAGCAGTTCTTTAAACCTTCCGCATTCTCCCAGATCCTTCTCAACTCTTCAGCCTTTCTTTCTCCCTCCTTAGAAAGTAAACAAACAGAAAACCAAACCAAAACAAAGACACCCAGAAAATACTACAAGAAACACACACAAACCCCATAAAAACACAAAGTTGGAAATCACTGTAGAAAGCAGAACAGTAAGAACAGACAACAAAGGAACAGAAACAAACAAAGCAGCATGAGACTTAAGTCTACAAAGATACTACTGAGTTCATCTTGTGCTAGTCATCTGCTGCTGGGCATGGAGCCTGCCCACGAGTGTGCTGAATATACCCAGTGAGGTTCCAGTGGAAAAAACAATATTTGTTTCTTTACAAGCAAGTGTCAGTTCCAGATAGCTTCTTGGTTAGGGGTTGGACCTCTGTCCACTTATCCTTTTTGCCACTGGGATCCTGCCGTGTACTTCAGTCTATGTATGTTTGTGCATACTGCAGTGTCTCTGTGAACTCATATGTGCACCAGTCCTTTGTACATTAAAAGTAAAAAATTGTTGTAAAAAAATTGAGAGTCCTATTCAGTTTTATTTCTAGTTCCAAAAAGATATTTGTACATAGCTCAATCATTAGAGCATTAGATACAGTTTGGAAGAGAGTGTGGACTCAACGTCATGTTTAGAGCAGTAGTCTGTTCAGATTGATACTTACTGATCAGTAACTCTCGTTTTTATGGTAACCAAGTTTAATAAAGAATTTTGTAGTTTAAAATTGTAGCAGTTAGTTTAATCCCTAAACTGTGTTGGGAAAGAGTGTCAGAATCTTTAGGACACTCAGTAGTGAGTTTTGTGTCTTGTAAAGTAATTTTACATTTTACACTAACACCCATACTTCAGTTTTCAGTAGTTTACTTCCCAGTGCAGTCTGTGGTAAATCAACATATTTGTTTAAATCCTCTGAGCTTACGGAGTGGAAGTCTCTTCCCTGGTTCACTAGTAAAGGCAGAGTGGTCACTGTAGTTACTGATAATTCACAGATGTTCTCATATGTGAACAGACCTTTAGTGTGTGTGTATATATATATTGCTTGTAGTTCCAAATGCTTATTATTTTTTTCCTGTTTACCTCATCCTCTCTTTAGTCACAAGGGGTAAACAAGGCAACTTTGAGGTTTAGGAAAACTTACTGTCTCCTGTAATTAATAATTAGGTACAGTGAAATAAAGTATTGTTGTTTGTCTCTAAGACAGCATATGTAAAACAGGAATTTAAAGGCCAATGAGGTGACTCAGCAGGTAAAGGGCTTGCCTCCATCTCTCCAATCTCAAGTCCTGAGATTGCAGGCATATGCCACCACGTTTTAGCTGTGGCCTAAAATACTTTTTAGTGTTGAAATGAGCCCCTATTTGATCCAAGGTTTGAGTTTCCTCTTGAAGCTAAATTTTACCTCTTAGGAATAGAATATCTTTTCCCGTGTTACTGTTATATGGATGCCGACACACACACATACTATTCCAATTACCTGACTAAAAACTATTTAATTTTTACTAAATTGGAATTGTATATTTACTTAAATTCTGATTTAATACCTAGTTGTAGATTAGTTTAATAGTGTTGTAAGGATTAAGTGACATAATTAATTTTTTACTATTATGTTCTGTGATTTAGAAGAAACAAATTTCCATAATAGCCAGCCATATAGATATTGAATGATTCTTATTAATAATATATCTAAACAAAGTGAGAAAGATCCTGGGGTAGAATCCAGGGTCTTCTGCATTGCTTGGCTAACACTGTACCACTGAGCCATATTCCTAGCTATGAACAGGACTTATCTTGGTTTATGATTTAATAAACTATCTTATTTTAATTTATGGATGGAAGTTTTGTCTTTATGTATGTCTGTGCATGCTGTGGAGACTAGAAGAGGACATTAGATCTCTTGGCACCAGAATTATCAATGGTTGTGAGCTGCCATGTGAGTGTTGGGGATGGAACCTAGCTCCTCTGGAAGAGCAGCCAGTGCTCTTAACCACTGAGCCATCTCCTCAGCCCCATGTTTATGATTTTAATTGTGAGGGCTGCCTTTTGTTTTATTGTGACAGGTTCTCTCTGTATAATCCAGGCTGGCCTGGAACTCTCAGTCCTGCTGACTGAGCCTCCCTAGTGCTGGGATTAAGCATGTCCTTCCATACCTGGCTTGAAGGCTTTTTTCCCCCCTTGATTACATCTTCTGTAAGTAAACTAGATATATGTATCCCTTCAAAATTTTTTCATTTCTTCTACTTCTCTTAAAATGTAGGCTTAGCTATATGTTTTTGTTTCTGTTTGTCAGATGTGAAATATGTCCTACAAGAAGAATGCATAACATACAATTAAAGTATAATTATAAAACTGACCATTGAGTATGACTGGGTCTAGAAACTTAAGCCTGCCAGGTTCTTGGACTGTCCCTGTCTATACTTCCTGAGGATACCTTTTTTCCTCTACCGGAGGTCTCCCTTGCATTAACCTTGAGGAAAGCATTTACTTGCCTATCTGGATCTTGACCACATACACACTGAGTTTGCCTGGTTTTGAACACTGTCCTAAGTGGATATGATTGTACTTACTACATTGAAATTTGTTCATTATTTTCACTTGAACTTACAATAAGGGACTTAGCATAATTTCTTCTTGTTATTATTTATGGAAATAGTTGCTGTTTATAGTTTGGTAAAATATGGTTTGTGATGGAGTAAAGTTGCAAATACTTATTCTTTCCCCATTAGTTACCACAGCTTTAATAGACAGAATGGGAGATGCCAAAGACAAAGTTCGAGAAGAAGCTCAGAATCTGACACTGAAGCTGATGGATGAGGTGGCACCACCTATGGTAGGCTTATGTTTGAATGAGCATGCTAATTAGGTAGATGGAAATGATAGCAAACCAATAAACCTTCAAGAGGCATAAATAGTAGAATTTTAAATAGTGGATCGTTGCTAAGGTTTTAAAGAAATTCAAATTCAATTTAAAGAAATTCAAAAGATAAGGTGCCAGTATATAGGTTTTTTTTATTTACCTTTTCTTTTTTTTCAGTTACTTAATGTTTTTACAAAAACATAAAGACTTGAGTGATTTGGCAGTTTGTAGTTGTACTTCGCCATTTTCTGGGTTTTCTTACCTGTAAATTATAAAATACCAAAATTTTTATTTTGAAAACTACTGAATATTATATTAACTTCTGCAACTCTTTCAGAAACAAGAAGTTTCTTTATTTTAATAGGTGGTTATTGATTATGTAAAGCATATTTTATGACAACTTGTGTTTTCTGAATATAGTAGAAATGGTTTGCCCTTAAGGATGTATTAATTATATTGGATGCATTGCTGTCAGTAAGAAAACCTAAGTTTGATCTCTAGGAGCCTGCCTGCCTGCCTGCCTGCCTTCTTCTCTCCTTCTCTCCCTCTTTTTTCTCTCTCCTTCTCTCTTTCTCCCTCTCCCTCTCTTTCTCCCTCTCCCTCTCCCTCTTCTTCTCTCTTTCTCTCCTTCTCTTCTTCTCTCCTCTCCTTCTCTCCTTCTCTCTTTCTCTCTTTCTTCCTTTCAAGTTAGGCATGGTGGCATATATTTGTAATCCCAGGCAGAAACAGACAAATCCTTGTGGCTTGCTCACAAGTCAGTAGTCTGGCTTAGCCAGCTTTGACATGTTCTAGGCCAGTGAGAGTCTTGTGACCAGAGGAGCAACACACAAGGTTGTCCTCTGCCTTCTAAATGTATACATACATTTGTACTTGCACACATATTCACCCACACACCTGAACACACATGCACATGTATGTATGGACATACACTAATAATGTATTGGTCTATTTTATGTTGTTACAACAAAATGTCTGAGGCTAAATACTTGTAACAAAAACGTAGTTACTTCATGCTTTGGGGGTCATAGTTTTGTTTGCACAGCCCCAGCTGTGTGACATGGTGACATGGTGACATGGTGCATCATCTCATGGAAGACGGCAACGTGATGGCAGGGATGGTTCATGGTTTTGAGAAACTAAGAGTCAAGACAGTGGCTTATTTGTTTTTAGAGATAGCATTTCTCTGTGTAGCCTTGGCTGTCCTGTAACTCTCTGTAGATGAGGCTGGCCTCGAACGTACAGAGAGCCACCTGCCTCTGGCTCTTATGTGCTGGGATTAAAGGCAAGTACTACCACTGCCTGGCTATTCTGTCCTGTTGCTTAAAGGCACTTCCATTAAAAAAATTTATTTTATATGTATGTATGTGTGTATAAATATGTACACCATGTGTATGTAGGTACTTGTAAAAATCAGAATTGGGTGCCGGGTGGTGGTGGCGCATGCCTTTAATCCCAGCACTTAGGAGGCAGAGGCAGGCGGATTTCTGAGTTTGAGGCCAGCCTGGTCTACAGAATGAGTTCCAGGACAGCCAGGACTACACAGAGAGACCCTGTCTCGACCCCCCCCCCCAAAAAAAAAAAAAACAAAAAAATCAGAATTGTAGTTATAGAGGGAGTTGTGTGGGTGCTGGGAACTGAACTCATATCCTTTCCAAGAGCAGCAATTGCTCTTAACTATTGAACCATCTCTCTAGCCCCCAGGTCTTTCTATCTTAACACTGAGGACCAGGCCTCTGACACATAAGCACTTGTGCAGAAAACCACGGCCAAACTGAAGCATGGAAATATTTTGAAGGAGAATAAAATAAGCTGATATGTACACCACAATTGAGAGGGTAGCTTAATGCTCATAATATGCACAGAGATACCATGTGATGCTTAAAGTATGTTACATATATTTAATACATCATGAGTACTGAGTTATAAAGGGAAACCAACTCGAAGGGATTTAGTACTTAGTAGCACTACTGTTTAAAAAGGTTTTGTGGATAGTCTTTACTGGTTTACATTTTAAATTGTTTCTCAGGTAACATCTGTGTATATTTATCTTTAGACATAGATGTAAACATTTTTATAAAAAGGGTTCCAGAGTTGAGTTGCCTGATACAGGTTATTCTAAATAAGATGTATGCATGCATGCATATATGTATGTATATATGTGTGGTGGTGGTAGCAATGGAACCTAGGGCCTTGTAGATCTCAGTGGCAAATGTTTTGTTTTTGAGCTATATACCTAGCCTTAGTTAATATTTTTAAAATTCACAAGGCTAATGACCCGAGTTCAGAGTTTGGTCCCCAGAATTCATGGTGGAAGGAGAAACCTGACTCCTAAAAGTTGTTCTTGGACCTTCACTCACGCAATCTTCAGTTATACATACATATACCTCTCATGTAAGTGCAGAAGCACATACACACAAACAGTAAGCACATTTAAGAAAGATTTTAAAAATCAACTTTCGGATTATATTTTTGAATACTTCACACACACACAGTGAGGGTGGAGGATGAGAATGTGGATTTGGTATGTTAAGTCAGCTTTCTGCATGTGGAGCGACAGTTTATGGGACAGTTTACTGTGTTTAGGAAGATAGAGTTGAAATCCTCACTTGACTATTCCTAAACAGTTGTTTTGCATCATTGGTGTAAGCTCATTTTTCCTTTCCCCACAGACTAGGTAGTCATAAAATGACCTATTCCAAATGTTTCTGTATTTGTGCCTGGCATTAAAAGAGAAAGGCTTTCGTTATAAAATGTTTTCAGTTGTCCCATGCGACAGTCTGCTGTCGGGAGTTCACCTCTGTTGAATACTTCTTAGACCACTGTGCCTATAATTTCAGCATTCTTAGCATAAATGAAACCCATGTTCTTGGAAATGCTTAGATGCTTACATATGGGATATGATGTTTCTCATAATTATTGAAATTTAAAGTGAAAAGTATGTAAATAAAAACTCAGAATTGTGGTTTAGCTCTCAAATGGGCAGGAGCCCACAAAAAGAAAAAACAAAAAACCTTGTAAATATGAGTTGAACATCCCTGATCTGAAAATCTAAAAGTTTTTGTTTATTGACATAACATTAATTCTAGAAGTGGAAAATTCCATATCTGATCCACATGATAGGCTATAGTTAGAATTTAGCTGCACTAAAATTATTATATAAGTTATGCTCAGGTTATATGTGTAAAGTAAGTATGAAACAAATATAAATCTCACATTGGGTTTGTGTCCTAGCAATAAGGTTTCTGTTACTATGTAAACATTCCAAAATTTGCAAAATGTCTCACATATGGAGCACATCTGATACCTGATGGCTTGATTGTAAAGTTGGGAAAACAGATTTGTCACCTGCGTTTCCTAACTTGTCATGTGTGTCTACTTGTTTTCCTAATAGTACATCTGGGAGCATCTGGCCTCTGGCTTCAAGCACAAGAACTTTCGATCTCGAGAAGGCATGTGCCTGTGTCTTATTGAAACCTTGAACATGTAAGTCCTGTGTTTACTGAAATGGCTTTCTTTCTCTTAGTCATTTCTCAAGGGTTTTTTCACAGGGTGAAGGAAGAGTGGAAATAAATTTTAAGTAGTTATTAATTGATTTCCCAAACAGAAATATAACCTTAATTCTACTTTTGTATATATGATATCTTTCATGTTAATTTTTGAATTTGCCATTTTTTACTTAGCCATCCAGAAGTGATGGTTATAGGCCTAATTATGTTAATAACTTTGGATCTTTTTTTCTGTTAGTATCTGTTTCAATGACTCAGTGACTCATTGCTGTGTCACATATTAAAGCCATTTCCCCACATACCTTTTACCAGTTGACCCTAGGCTGGATGGAGCACTGTGGGTGGCTGCCTGGACTCTGTACCATACACCTAGTCATAGCGGGCAGAGTCTTGATGGCACAGGTGTCACAGGGCTAAGATAGAGGCAGAAGGAGTGTAAGCAGAGGCTTTTGTTTCTATTCTAGAAGGCTCTTCCAGACTGTGAAGTATGATAGGTAATATATAGCCCCTTTGAACTTTCCTGTGGCATGACTTCCTCTTCTTCCACTGCTCTGGGTCCTACCTGCTAGCAAGGCTGGTCAGGGTCTTCAGTCAGCACACTTTCTGAGTGTTAGCATTCCTGTCCATTGCATTCAACCTCGACATCAGAACATTAGTAAACATAAGTATCTCCTAACTTACTTTATCTCACTGTATATTAAGACTCAACTCAGATTTTCTTAAATAATCAATAGGCTGCCAGGGTTGTCAAACTGCTGTTGAGAATTTTGCCCAGTTGAGTCATGTGCTGACCTTCGTTTTCAGCATCTGTCCTGATTAGTTTTATGTCAGTTTGACACAAACTATAGTCGTCTGAAAGGAGGGAACCTCAGTTGGGAAAAATAGTTCCATAAGATCAGACTGTAAGGCAGTTTTTTAGTTAGTGATTGATGGGGGAGGGCCCGGCTCATTGTGGGTGGTGCCATCCCTGGCCAGTGGTTCTGGGCCCTATAAGAAAGCAGGCTGAGCAAGCCATGGGTGCAAGCCAGTAAGCAGGAACCTCAGTGGCCTTGGCCTTCTTGCCTCCAGAATCCTGCCCTGTCTAGCTCCTGCCCTGTATGTTTCATGGTCGCAGTAGTAACCCTACCTAGGACTGCATCATCACACCTGCTCAGGTCGACTTTGTGTTGCTTCGCATCACTTTGCTTGTTACTTGTCTTTCCTTAACAGTCTGTGTCCATGCTTTCCATATAGAGGTAAGAAGGGCCGGTTGGTGTTGTCCAACGTCTTCAATCCCAGCATAAGGTAGAGGCTGGTGGGTCTCTGAGTTGGAGGCCAGCCTGGTCTACAGAGTGAGTTCTAGGACAGCCAGGGCTAAACAGAGAAACCCAGTCTCTAAAAACTTAACAGAAAAAGTAGAAGAAAAATAAGATAGCACTAGGATATGTTGTTCACTATTTAAATGAAACTAAAATTCTTTTTCCCTTAAATTATATTTAGCTTTGGGACTCAACCACTGGTCATCAGCAAGTTGGTGCCTCATTTATGTGTCTTATTTGGAGATTCTAACAGTCAGGTAAAAAATTACTTACCTTCAAGCATTGACTGGTCTTTTTTGAGGGTGGGAGGGTGCACCCTTTCTTGTGCTCTTACCTTATTTAAGCCAGTAAAGAGAAAGAAGGTGGATAGTGAAATCCTCCCTCCCCCCTTTTTTAAAATTTTAATTAAATGAAGGTCTGGCTGTTATGCTCAGAATCTACTGGGCTCACATGATCTTCCTGCTCTACCCTCCCAAGTAGCAAGGACTACTGGCCTCTTCTCCCTCTCTTTCTCCCTCTTCCCCCTTCTACCAGGGGTTGTTTGTTTTGAAAGGAACTTAAGTTGCTTGTCAGTACTTGGGCTGATAGTAAAGACAGAAGGAATTGAATGGTTAGTTCTTGTTTTGTCAGAGTCAGAGACTTTCTGGGTTCTGTAGTCCAGTGTTCTGTTAACTGTGAGGCTAGATTGTTAGTGGACTGTGTGCCTGGTTGTGCTTATATAGGAATTATTGCAGCTGTTGATAGTCCTGTTTAATAGGGAAGGCCTCTGTGTCCATGGTGCATCTCTTTACTTGATGTGTCTGTGCTTTAGTCAGGAGGCAGGGGTCTGCACCTACCTGATCCCTCCCGTGTAAGTCAGCTGTAATATTTCTGTAGCTGCCCCTCAACAGTTTATAGATTTTTTTCTCTTCAATTGCTGTTTTATTTATAGACAAAGGTTTTCTTTTTTCTCCCCCCCCCCCCCAAGCTCTTGAAGTCAATTGATCCCCCCCCGCCTTAGTCTCCCAGGAAGCTAGGGCCGTAGGTGTGTGCCATCACTCCTGGCTCTTAGTTGCTGTTTGAAAGTAAGTTTTTCCAAAAGTAAGTGTGGTTTTTCAGGTTGTTCTCTTTAGGCCCCATTCTTTTTCCCCTCTTATATAGAATATAAAATTTATCATTGCATCTATTTGTAAGAGTACACCTCAGTGGTATTAAATACACTTTCCGTGTTTTGCAGCTGTATCACCATCTACATGCAAAACTTCCTCAGCACTCAGACTGTCTTCATGAGACAGTTACCCAGTCCTCTTCCCCAGTGGCTGGCCATTACCCTTCTCCATTAGTGTGACTACTCCACAGACCTGGTGGACACAAGTCAGACTGGTCCCATTTATTTAGCACATTGCCCACCACAAGTGATCCATGCTGCAAAGTGTGTCAGAATCATTTTTCATAAACACAGGCATCACATTTCGTGTATGTAGTCATATAAAAATAGGCATTTTTTGTTTTTTGGGTTTTTTTTTTAGTTTTTTTTCCTACCTTTTGGCTATTCTGAATAATTTTAGAAATACTGATGTACAAGTTTTTTGTTTTTGTGTTTTTTTTTTTTTTGAGTTCAATTCACATCCTTGGAAGGCAGTTTTGTTTCAAGAAAATTAATTAACTGTATTTTTGAAATCCCAATTGTTAGCTTTTGTTAACAGGTTTCTATTAACCACCTCCTCTCTTTTTTTGATGGTAGTAGGGATTGACCCAAAGGTCTCTTACATGTGGGTTAAGTGCTCCATCGCTAAGGTCTTGACTTTCTTTAAATGGGTTTTCTAGGGCTTTCTTGACAGACCTTTGTTTTGGTTTTTCCATTAATAAGGTGTGATATTATAATCTACTCAGGGACTGAAAAGGCATTCAAATCAGCTTAGAGTGTCAGTTTGGGCCTACTAGTTTATTGTTACCGTAAATGGAAGTATGTGTCACATCTGAATTTCTTTAAAGTGTCTTGAATTCTTTGACAGGTGAGAAATGCTGCAATATCAGCTGCAGTGGAGATTTATAGACACGTCGGAGAGAAGCTGAGGACTGATTTATGTAAAAGAGACATTCCCCCTGCTAGGTAGGTCTTCCGATATTTATTTTTTGCTACAGTTGTATTTTTGTTTACTTTATTAAGGTAAATATTACAGCCAGGTGTGGTGGTGGTGCACACCTTTAATCCAGCATTGGGAGGCAGAGGCAGGCAGACCTCTGTGACTTGGAAGCCAGCTTGGCCTGCATAGAGAGTTCAGGTGAGCCAGGGATGCAGTAGCATGCAGGTTTAGTATCCTGGGCTTCCTGGAACCAGTTTATAGACATAGAACTGTACCAGTGCCAGGCACTTGGTGCTCCTTTGGCTTCAGGTTTCCTTCAACTCTGCTGTGAAAGTGCTTAATATTTTCAGGGTAGGGTGGGTGTGAATAGAACTTCCTCCGCACATAGTCTTGCCACCTCCAGTGACAGCTTTATTTTTCCCAGTCTGTACATTTTTCATTTCCCTTTCTTGTCTTCATTTTCTAGGATTTCCTGTGTACTGTTGAGAAAGTAGAGTGGGGTACATTCTCCCCTTGTTCTGATCTTAGAACGATTCTAGTTTCTTCACATTAAGATTGAAGTTAGCTGCTAGGTTTTAGAGCACACCCTTAGCCCCAGCACTTGAAAGGCAGATGTCGGTAGATCTTTGTCAATTTGAGGCTAGTGAGACCCTGTCTCAAAAAAAAAAAAAAGAATAAAAAAGAATGATGTTAGTTGTAGACTTTTGGTAGGTGTTCTTTTTTCTTAAGAGTTTATACTTTTTAAAGTTACATTTTACTTGGGCTCCGTACATGGGCTTTGTACACCCTGTACAAGTGTGGAGGTCAGAGGACTACTTGGGAGAGTGTTTAGACATCTTGCAAGCACCTTTTTTGTCCACTAAGCTTTTTTTTTTTTTTAACTTTTTATTGGTTCTTTTTGAATTTAACATAATACACTCCAGTCCCACTCATCTTCCCCTCTGCTTGTACCCGACCTTTACTCTTGCAACCTCCCCACAACAGAGGAAAAAAAAATTCTCGATGTGGAAGCTGTAGTGTTTTACAGTGTGTCCCTCAGTACACCCTTTTGTCCAGACTTCTTTGCTTGCAAGTGTTCACTGCACTGACTTGTTGGTCTGCTGCAGGCCTCTGACTTCTGCTACTCCATCAATATTGGAACCTCACTGGGACCCCTTGTGTATTCAGATGTTGACCTGTGTCGTGGAGATCCTATAGTTTTTGGATCTGTAGGACAGCCCCTTTATGGTCTCCAACAGTTCATTGATAAGGTGGATTTTGCGGTGGGCCTATTTAAAGCCCTGGATCTGGGCCTGAGAGGTATCTGAGCTACTCAGCTCATACCCTCAGGGCAAGCTTACCGCCACCACCACCACTACCACCACCATCATCATCATCCTTACAACCAGGATCAGTTCTCCCACTCTCCTGACCCCGTGGCCAGCTCTCCTACCTACCATAGATGGTGAGGGATGAGGGAGGTGGGGAGGCCATCTCTCGTTAGTCCACACCACCACTCAGCAGACAAGGGGCAGCAGGGCCAGCTCTCCTACACTCACACCCTGGGGCTGGCTCACTCTCAGCTCCCACAATCCAGGGTCAGCTCCACTGTCTTGCCCTGGTGAGGGGCAGGGCCAGCTCTTCCTCTCTGATAACTTTGGAGCCAGATCTTCTGTCTGCCGAAGGCGGCAAGAGTTTCTGGGAGGCGACATACAAGTGCCCACTCTAGTGTTCATATTTTTGGGGCCAGCCCACTTGTAACTCCTGCAATGTGTAGATCCTGCTGTTAGTACTGCAGCTGGCAAGGGGTGGGGCCAGCTCTATGCTTCCATGTCTCAGGCGCTACCTTTCCCATGGTACCCAAGTAAGAGTGGGGCCAGTTCTGCACAGCTCTGAGACATTAGCATGTCCCCAGGTGGCAGCCCAGAATAGGACTGCTGCCTGGCCTTTGGTGGTAGCAGACTCCTACTATTTCAGGGCCGTGGATCTAGAACTGGCCCCCATTAGGCTGTTACGACCCTCGAGTCTCCAGTTTTGACTTTCTTCATTGTACCCAGAGCCTCTGTTTCTCTTTCTCTACCGTTTATTTGCTCCTCTTAGTGGCACCCAGGGTCTCTGAGTGTCTGTGTTCATCTCAGGAGTGGTCTCAGGAGTGCTATGCCCTGTTTGTGCATTGTGGTACCAGGCAGAGGTCATCTTGGGCATGGTTTCCCCCTTGCCCCACTCCAGGCCAGTGGTTATCTTGGCCCAGCCAGCTCAAGTTGCTTCTTGTGAGGGTCATTTGTTTTAGGCTCACTCCTGCCTGGGCCCTTGGTCCTAGGCAGGATTCTTCTACTGTTCAGCTTGTTTCTTATACTGGGAACCAGTCTGGGCCTGCCTGGTACCAGACTGATGGTTGTCTCAAGTTAGCTCCCTGTCTAGCCCCATGGCACAGGACTGGTTATCATTGTTTCAGGTTCCCTTTTTAAAGTTAATCTAATTATTTAGATGGTCATAACCTCTCTCCTTTCTGCCACCTATGGATGTAGATGTGACACAGCAGCCACCCCTGCAATCTAAGGGCAGGCCAGTAACCTATTTTTCTACCTCTAAAAATTCATTCTGATCAACTTCTTAAGTATGTAGAATTAAAACTAAAAGTCAGTTGGGCATTTTAAATGTAAAGGTTGGCTGGGCAAAGTGACTTTTTGTTGTTGCAAATTATCTTAATGGCTACTAACATTTTTTTCCCTAGAGCCTGTATTGTAGCCATTCATTTTCTACTCGTATTGTTTGTATACTTTCACCAGTGGTCTATGTTGTTAGTTTTGTTACTGACTCTCAGTTTCTGCTGGTAATATATCATGGCTTCTTCTTTTTTTAAAAGGAACATAAACACGCTTTTGTAAAATACCTACAGAAAAATGTTGGGCAATTTAAACAACATATCTTTTTTTGGTTTTTCAAGACAGGGTTTCTCTGTGTAGCCCTGGCTGTCCTGGAACTCACTCTGTAGACCAGGCTGGCCTCAAACTCAGAAATCCGTCTGCCTCTGCCTCCCAGGCGCTGGGATTAAAGGCGTGTGCCACCACCGCCTGGCTAAACAGTATATCTTAAATGAATACACAGTTCAGAAAACAAAGTGACGCGTATAAACAGAAATAAGATGAGAAGAAGAGGGAGGAAAGGGTAAGGGACGATAAGTGACAGGGATGCAGAGAGTAAGTCAGGTGATATAAAATAACATAGGAAGGAAAAGCTTGTTACCATAGTGGATACTCAAGCAGTTTATGAACAAATGCAAACATTGAGACAGGAGATCAGTATGTAACCTTAGCTGTATCACTATGTAAACTTAGCAAAATTTGGAAACTTAGTTGTTTCTACAACTAAAAAACTAGTTTTATAAAATCGTGACCATTAAGCATTTAAATTAGGCTTAATTTAGGCTTTAAAAATAATATTTCACCTATTAGATTGGCTATTATATACAAATATCATGGCTTCTGATTTCTGATATAGAGGAGTGTTCTTTCATACTTTTTTTTTGCCATTTGACACTTTTTAAAATATTTATTTTGCAGTGGGGCAGGGGTTAGTTTCTTGATACAAGGTTTTCTTATATATAGACCAGGTCAGCTTTATACTGTTTCTATATAATATATCTGATATATATTCTATCAGATAATAATATATAAACATAATGTACAAACAGATATAAACATATATACCTAAATGCTCCATAGTTTCCTGAATAGGCTGATAGGTGTGTGCTACCATGACAGTAGAATATGTTCTCCATAGAAGTGTTCTTTTCAAGTCTCCTGTCCATTTGTTAGTCTGGATTATCTGTTTTCTTCAATTATTTTTTATTTTTATTTATGTGTGTCGATATGAATAAATGCCGTGTGCTGTGCCTGTATCATGGATCTTGGGTTACAGACAGTTGTAAATTATCCTAACCAAGTAGATGCTAAGAACTGAAGCCAGATGAGTAGTCTAGAAGAGCAGTAAGCACTCATAACTGCCAGTAAGCTGTCTGGCCAACCCCTTATGAGTCTTCAGAAATAGGACTTGGGAGAAGTCTTTCTGTGTTGTAGATACAAGCTTCCTTACCTACATAAGATTGCATTTATCTAATACTCTGTGACTGGAACTTTTCTTTTCCTGATAGTAGGTTTTTTGCTTGTTTTTTATGTACACAGCTTTTTTGTTAATTTAAAAAATGATTCATGTGTGAGTATGGGCAAAGCATTGTTTGCATGGAGAGATCAGGACAGTTTGTAGGTAGGACTCAGTTTTCTCTAACTTCACATATGATTTCTGGGGAGAGCGCTGAGGTGACCATGCTGGGCAGCCTTTTACCTGACGAACCATCACATTGGGTCTTTTTTGTTGGTCTATTAATTTTTTAGGTTAGCATGCAAAGTAAGACATTCTTTTATGGCATTTTCATATCTGTGTTGTTATCCTTCGTTTGTAGTCGTTTCTACTCCTCACTGCTCTCCACATACTCCTGTTACAGCTCGTGCTTCCATTCCTTTCCCTAGATAGTCCCTGCCCCCTGCTTTCTTGTTTATAATCTGTTGCCCACTTCCATGGTATTAAGGTCCTGTGTCATGGTCATCTTTCTAGTTTAATGACTTCCATATACATTTTAAATACAAACACATATATATACCCATATATATAAATATAGGCATACTTGTAAGATTTTAAATCTAGGATCTGCATATGAGAGAAAATATAGTATTTTTCTTTCTGCATCTTGCTTATTTTACTGAATGTATCGGCTTTCAGTTCCATCTATGTTTATGTAAATGTCACAAATTTTTCTTTATACCTGTATAAACTTCTGTTTTGTATATATTCCAAAGTTCTATCCATTCATCTGTTGATAGCCATCTAAGAGATTTCTTTTCTTATTTATTATAAATAATTCAGCAATAAATATGTATGTGCAGGGGTAAGGTGACAGTCTGCTCAATAATTGTACAACCAGTTCATGTGGCAGTTCTGTCTGTGTGACATTTTTCTTTTCTTTTTTCTTTACTTTTTTTTTTTGTCT